TTCTTCATTCTTCATATTAAATCAGCGTCCCTGCTGTTAAATTCGCTCTTTTAAATACACGCGCCACCAAAGGCATTGGAACGCTAGCGCTGCGTAGCGGTGAAACGGTGCAACTATTTTAGATAGTTGTCCTTGTCGCACGCTAATGCGCTCCTTGTCCAATAACGCTAGACAAGGAAAGCAATAGTGTGCGACAAGGACATCCTTCGATCTATTGAAAAAAAATTCAACTTTTTACACACACGTTTTTCTAGGACAAAACACACATAGAAAGCGGGGAGCATAATTTTAAGGAGGCATATAAAAAAGTTCGCAAATTATTCCTCTTAATTAGGTTTTTTTCATAATTAGTGCGAACCGTCACAAAATGGACATGATGGCGCCATCTAGCGGTAACTCGGTGGTACTAATTATTTATAAAAATACTTATTTCTGCATTTTACGGGTCAAATGGGGTATGAAAAGAAAGCTAAGGGTCTAATTAGGGTAATACAATCGCCAAAGTTCACAATTCGTTACGCTAAATTAGGTTTTTTCGCAAATGAAAATTTCTCTGTTTTACGGGGTAAGAAACACTAGCGCCGTGTTGTGGCAGAACGGTGGAACTAAACGCTCTATGCCCATACAAAAAGAATAATTAATTTCAATTTTCACGCCATAAATTTGCACTCAAAGACGCAACCATAACAGTTCAGAAATGATAATGATTCCTTTTAATTAATTTCTTCTCGTAATTTGTGGAAAAACTGTCACCTGTCAATGTTTAAGAGAAATGGTGGCGCCATCTATTGACAAGTCGATGGTACTAAAAACAGAGTTTCCCGTTTTTAGTGTCATCGAGTTGTCAATAGATGGCGCCACCGTTTCTCTTAAACATTGACAGGTGACAGTTTTTCCACAAATTACGAGAAGAAATTAATTAAAAGGAATCATTTCTGAACTGTTATGGTTGCGTCTTTGATTTTAGAGACCCTTAGCTTGCGTTCTATGTTTTGTTTAAGTGTAGTTTACATTTATGAGGAATGTTTCAATTTCGTTTACGTTAGTAGTACTGCCAGTAGTGAGTGCATAATTTCGCGCAAACTATAGTGAATATTAGATTCAGATTTATTTGCGAACGTAGTTGATAGCATTGTCATTGAAGTATATGCTCGTGGAGTGCAAATTTATGGCGTGAAAATTGAAATTAATTATTCTTGTTGTATGGGCATAGAGCGTTTAGTTCCACCGTTCTGCCACAACGCGGCGCTAGTGTTTCTTATCCCGTAAAACAGAGAAATTTTTATTTGCGAGAAAACCTAATTTAGCGAAATGAATTGTGAACTTTGGTGATTGCACTACCCTAATTAGACCCTTAGCTTTCTTTTCATACCCCATTTGACCCGTAAAATGCAGAAATAAGTATTTTTCTAAATAATTAGTACCACTGGGTTACCGCTAGATGGCGCCACCATGTCCATTTTGTGACAGTTCGCACTAATTACGGAAAAAACCTAATTAAGAGGAATAATTCGCGAACTTTTTTATATGCTTCCTTAAAATTATGCTCCCCGCTTTCATTCTATGTGTGTTTTGTCCTAGAAAAACGGCTGTGTAAAAAGTTGAATTTTTTTCTCAATAGATCGAAGGATGTCCTTGTCGCATACTATTGCTTTCCTTGTCTAGCGTCGTTAGACAAGGAGGGCAGTAGCGTATGACAAGGACAGACATATACGCGCGGTAGACAAGGAGATCAACAGCGTGCGACAAGGACAGACATATACGTGCGGTAGACAAAGAGGACAATAGCGTGCGACAAGGACAGAGATATTAGCGCGGTAGACAAAGAGGGCAATAGTGTGTGACAAGGACAACAATATAAATTAGTTCCACCGTTTCACCGCTACGCGATGCTAGTATTTTAATGCCTTTAGCGGCTAACATATCCAGTCTTTCCTTAGTATACCAGTTCTAAAGAAACGAATGTTACAAGTTGTAAGTGGATGCCGCTTAGCTACGGATCAAGTGCGATCTTTAGATTAAGCGTGCGGAACACTTCTAGGATGGGTGCTGTTTCTTGGTCCAAGCTAGAGGTTCTTAATAAACCGAGCGTCTGAGGTTAAGGATCTCCGCATCAGCTTTATTGATGAATGTGGTGACTCTGAGACGAAATACACTCCACCTTCTATATCTTTTATAACCTTACATTATATATAAAATCATCCGCTACAGAAATTTCACCTTTAGTACCATCTATTGACGAATTGCAAATTGTATATTTTCAGTTACATATAGCTGTATCTATGTACAAAAATGAAAAGTCCCATGCAAGAGCAAAGGAAGCAATTCCTTCTCTTAGTAACCGACTCACTAAGTTTTGTTTCTTCTGCGTGACACTCTCAACCAATAGATATTCTTAAATTTAAGAATGGATAGGAAATAACCAACCAGACCCACATTCTTTTTGAAAAACTTTTCATCTCTGCACGACACGTGTTGATGCAAGTATAAGTCATCATTTTGAATCTTGAGATTATTGAATTATTACAGTTGAATTCGGTAAAAATATATTTAATTTTATAAAATATAAAAATAATAATATATCAAATTTTACAATTTGTTTTACTTTAGGGATTACGAGAAAAATGATTGTAATTATAGAAGATGAGAAACTAATTTTTTTTATAGAAAGAATCATTTATGGTGATTCACTTGATTACTACTTTATGTCTAAACGAGTTCAAATATGTTTCATTGCGTTTGTGGTATTAAAGGTTATGTACGAATATTCGACGATAAGAATAATAAGATATAATCTTCATCTGTAAAGGAGAAAAGAGAATACAGAATGACCGATGTTGCAAGACGATTTAAGTTTGCGTTCCTTTAAAAAATAGGCGCGATAAAGAGCATGAACAGGTGCGCAGATGCAACACGTACGGAACAGGTGACACGACCAATGTGTCTCGTGACTCAACACCTCGGATTCTTACGGTTTCGACAAGCTGCGATTGTTAGCTGATAAGGATTGTGCACGTACAAGGTTTAATCTCAATGGAATCGAAACGATAACAGACCGCTTAACGACAATAGTCATTTCATCAAGGCCCACCACGTACTCGACGATTCCATTGTAAGTCAATGTTTGATTCAACTTCTCAATTTCGATGCGAACGTTTACCGATTCTGTGATTCAACCTGGACACACGTTACAGCAAAACGATGTACAACGATCGACCAGAGTTCAATCGACGCTCTTAATTAATTACCTCGTCCAATATTATCGCTCGTCGTTGGCAATACGTACCTAACCTCTACAAATTTGACGTGTACGTGTGTGTTATCACAATATAGTGGAAATGTTTTTATTCTTTGTAGAAAGATCTTTGTTACTTTTAAAGTAAAATTGTAGAGGAAAAAAGAAAAGGAAAATAATACGGATGACTTTTCTCGCTTTAAAAGAAGAATGTTAAGTCACATCTGGTGAACTACATCTGGGGTCAAGTGTTTTATGTAAGTTTTCAAAACTATTGTAACCTGTTATTTTTCAATTACAAAGAGAAAGAGACATACATCATTTTCTAGAAGTCCGATGAAGGATGGCATTTCCTCCACTAGTTAGTTCCACACCTCCTCCTTTGGATAGTTTTGGAGACTCCGAGGAAGACGAGTTCGGGGATTTTACAACTGGGGGTATAGATGGTAATTATGACATTCATGGAGAGAAGCTTCTTCTCATTGTATACTAACATTTGCATTCTAGGATTGTCAGCGTCGTCAGATTCACCACAGAAGCTTGCAACACCAGTTCAAACACCGTCAACGTCGCAGAACACTTCACCTAAAGTAAACGGTATTTCAGAGACACCTGACAATTCTGAAACAAATGTTGCTCAAAGGCCAGTTGCAGAAGACCTTTTAATACTTGAAAAAATCAATGATGATGTGAATAATATTAAACTCAAGACGGAAGTGGAGACGTTGGATGAAATTATAGGGAACGACGCCAGCAGAGACTTGGGAAACATAAACAATAATAATAAGGAAATCACTGTAGGTAAAGAAGTTTCTAACGGCGTTAATTTAATCAATGAAGGCAATAGCTTTGAAGGAGAAGAGTGGGGAGCTTCGCTGAATCGTTTGGAAGACATAGAGCCATTAAGTTTAGATTTAGGTGATCTGATCGCTGCTCCTGACACAACACAGTCAATAGACGATGATTTTTACGATTACGAACAGTTCGAGGATTCACAGAATTGGGTCTCCCACAACAATATATCCACAGAGATTTCAAAAGCAGATTATTTCAAAGTTCAAGATTCTGGGCTCACATCGGATGACACAAACAAGGATTTAAACACTGAGAACGAAAAGGAAGGATCGACTCTGGACTTGGAAAATATTATTGTAAAGCCAAAATTAGAGGATAAGTGTGTAGAAAATCTAGATGAATCTAGCAAAAAAGATATCTTTTCAAACGAAGTTGACGATTTAGTGTTTGCAAGTGTTGAAAATCAAGTATTTTGTAATTCTATTGAGAGAGACTCGAGTATCAACGACTCAAAGGATGAGTTCTCTTTGAAAGTTCAGGAAGAAAACGAAGTTGCTGAAAATCTTCAGTTTTCCGAGGATGAGGACGCCAAAATCAAAGATAATTTTCTATCCTCCGCATCACTGCCAGATATTTCGAAGTGTTCGAACGAGGAATTCGGTGACTTCAAGTACGATTCTACGCTGGAAACTTCGGTCAACGCACCTCAGCTGGAATTTTCTGATTACTCAACGGAAACAGATCACAAGAAAAAAGAAACGTTCGTTCAAGACGATGATTTCGGCGATTTCACCAATTTTTCCGAGCATACGCAATTCGATGAAACAAATGTACCTGATCAAAAGGATGAGGATGATGATTTTGGTGATTTCAATAATTTTGAAACAGCATTCGAGCAACCTGTTGTAGAACAGCCACAAAGTAGCCTAAAAGAGTCAATTTATCGAATAGAAAATAAAAGCGTGAGTTTCTTTTACATTTGATTCCTTCGAATTGACTACCAAAAAGTTTGCACTTTTTAGGCTGCTAACAAGATAGAGGACATAATAACTACCATGTTTTCAATGGACTGGGAGCAATGTGAGATTGAGATACAGTCGTTGATAAGTCAAGCGGACAAGGTCTGGAAGAGTATTAAAAATGTTGAGGAAACGAACGCCCTGACATATCAATGGGCAAACAGTTCCAGCAATAATGTCCTACTAAATTCTCTTGGTATCGACTCTCGTAATATTGTAAGTAACTTTTGTTTTGTACGTTACGATCGATCAAAGCATAAATTCAAGTATTCGCATTTTAGTTATTCGGACCGAGATGGAATCCGAATGTTCCAAGATTTGCTGCAAACCTTGGCTTTACTCCATTAGAACCGATCAAAGCTACAACTGATTCTCAAACAGTTGCTACATCAAATAGCAAATCTCAGTCTTCAGCTAATTCAGAAGTAAGTTTTTATATGCTCTTCTGAGTAGATGATTATATATTTTTTTCCAGTAAATATTTTGTATTAATGATAAATACGCACAGTATATTTGACAGTAATTAATTTGATTATAATTTCGTTAGGAAGTACCTGCTGCTCAATTTGATTGGAATAGTTCTGGGCTTGTTAATCCTTTAGAAGCTAGTAAGTATTCTCAAACCAATTCTTACATTTATATTACAAGTTCGTTAATTTTATTTTGCTGTCACGACACTAGATATTTCATTAGGCATATCCTCACGTCTTAAATCATAGTCACACATTTTAGTATGAAAATATTTAACTGGTTTGTCCATTTTGTTTGCTTCTGCAAATTATGTTTTTGTATAAAGTACGCTAATCGCTGGGTATATTCTTTGATAAATCGTGTAATCTAGGTGGTGGGTTATCTGCTCTTCTACCTCTGGACTTTTTGTGTCCTTTCGATCCTCTACTAACATCCCACAACTCCACCAACTCTGAATCCTATCGCCGACCAAGTAGCGCAAGGAATTCCATTAATTATCGTAAGTTCTAGGCTTGTATTTGTATAACCAGAACACACAGAAACATTAGATTGTTTTACTGCATGTTTTTACACTGTATCGTGTTGTCATCTCTGTATACAGAATCATTGCTTCCAAATGAAACGATTTTACAAAATAACAGATATCTCAGAAGTGAATGCGAACCGGGAACGATGCAATTCGGTGTCGAAAGTAAAGACGATAGAGTCTCTGGAGAACGACGTCGCAAAGTCACAAAACACTAAACGTTCACAGTCTTCGAAAATAATCGAACCTTTGCCTGCTCCACGCGCAACAGAATGCAAGAGAAGAACTGATGTCGACTCCGGATACAAGCAGAAAAGCGCAAGTACTCAAAAAGGTATTCCAACGGAGAAACAATGTCCGTTAATGGAAAAGCAGTTGCTATCGATTGATAAACAGTGCATGGTCGAAAGACAATACGCGCCAGTTGCGAAACAGCTTTCACTAAGTGACAAACGATATTTGCCAACAGAGAAATCAATGACGGGAGACGTTTACCGCAGTAAGTCTGTAAATAAAAGATCTGGATCCGAGCATGTGGTGATAGACAGATTTGGCCGGGTAATGCCGATACAGTCGGAAACAGCGAGGGTGCTGAACCGTTTGCCGGATCTCTCCTTCCTTAGCGCTAGAACGTTGATGCTCGACCGGGAACACAAGCAGCTCGCCTGCGAAATGGGTGTTATAAGTCGTAAGATGCCTGGCTGAGTAACGTCGGTCTGAGCGTGAGTTTGAAAGGTCAGAATATTCGATGGATCTCACTCTGTCCCGCGGACAAATTGATGAGACGTAGAAACGAAGGAGAGAAGACATTCCGTTAACCTTTCAAACCCGTGCTTGGGCCGACCTTTGATCCTAACTCATATTTCCTCCTGAAGAAATAAGAAAAAAAGAAAAAAAAAAAAGAAAAAACACTGACTGATAAAGTATTCTGTACTCTTTATTCAGAAAAAGAAAACAAGATTCTGTGTGGGATATGCGAGATGGTGGTGGATGTCTACTTCCTGTTTATAGGAAGGACAACATTCCATGATACAGATTTTCTATCATTTTTGCACGATAAGACGGCGATATAGAACATTATTACTTTGTTCACGAAATGGAGTCGTAATATTTTATCATTTAAAGTGTGATCACTTCCAGATCTTCAGATACTTCCGAAACGAGAACATCACTTGTAGTATGTGATACTTAGTTCCCCTGTATTATTTCGTTTAACAAAGTTTTCCCGCTTCTTTATTTTCTACTCTCAGACGTGGACCAATGTATACTTTAAAATAGTATGTATAGTTGAGTATAGTATGATATTTATGATATTTTTAATCACGTTTGTTCTAAGCAGTAGCCTATGCTGACATATGGCGACTATTTTGTTAAAAACGAAATTATGAAAGTTATAATGGATTAATCAGTAATTAAGCCATTTGCATTCCTGTTTTCGTTTTTAACTTTGCTTCTTAATTAAGTAACAGTTCGTTGATATAATGTACGTTACTAATTATTTATATGTGATTTGCAAGATTTCAAGCAGAATGTACTTAATCTTTTATACATACTGACTCTGTTCCGTGAACAGGTGTAAAAGTATGTAAGTGGTGCAGCCAGATATTAGAGGCATACGATGTTGTCACAAATTAGTTTCATGATTAATCAAGAAGGAAATATACTACTTTGAGAAAAAGTATCTTTCAGTTGTGTTCAGTTATGCCTCATAGGAGTTACATTTTATGCGCGTATTTTTATTTTATACAGCATATTAAAAATATATGTATTCTTTGTCTGTGTAAAAAGAGGATAACGTGTAATAGTATAATGAACGAGGAGTAACCGAACTGTTAACAACTTTTATTTCAATAAATTTTGTGGCGGCGCCACAGTTGCAGGTAGTCAATGATATCGAGTATTTAATGTTCGAGTTAAGATTTAGCACTTGTACTACGTTCAGAGGGAATTGTCATGAATATATTTGGCGTTCAAAAGTGACTTAACAAATAATAACAATAAGATATCTTTTAGGTGAATGTAAAAGTATTTCCGAGAGAGTTGGTAGGAGATGCTTGTGTCTTTGACATTTGATAACTATCATTTTCCATAGACTGAATTCTTATTATAATGATTTAAAGCCTAATTAGATATTTTATTGTTAGTAAGAAGAGGATTTACTCTTGAGTGGAAGATTTCAAAGCGATTATGGGAAACAACATAGATATGTTACCTTTTTTGTTTGAAACCTTACCCTCAGAAACGTTAAACAAATGATATATTCTAATTATATAAATGTTATTGAAATGTTGTTAATTTTGACCAATTGTGTTTTAATATTGTGTTATGAATGATGTAATAATCCTGTTATAAATATTACTCTGTTCATATTATCTAATACATTTATTTTATGTTATAAATGTGCACATAGTAATTCTTCTTTTTAATATTAATTAATGCAGAATGGAATAATACTACAATATTTTATTATTTTTGAATAACGGCTTTTACAATCATTTAGTATTGCTCAAAATCTTCTACACAAGAACAATGTTCTCTTACGTACAGGATGTAACAGAGAAAAAGCCTGTGTCATTGGATTGGTACTAGTCTTAACACTTACACACAGAATATGGAAATAATTTACTCTTATTTCTACTGTGTCAATAAAAACTATTATTTTTACTAGTTGTGTTGAATCAATATCAAATATTTTACGTTACTGGTACAGATGCATTCACATTGCCCAACTATACTTAGGAACATGAGAATCTAGAAAGAAGGATAAAATAAGAATCAGTTATTATAATTTTGTTAAATCTCTATATAGAGAGAAAACAGTTGACTCAATTGTGAGTAGAGACAGAAAATACAGGAATATAAAAAGTATAACAGAGAAGAGAACTAATAGAGGAATTAGAAAAAAAAAAGGAATTACTATAAAAGAAAAAACCACAAAGATTCTAAGAACAAATAACCTCAGCATTATAAGAATCAGTCTAATATAATTTAAATCGGCGTAATTAATAAAAAGAGTAAAGTAAAAAAGATATATGGAAAAAGGAGACAAAAGAAACGAAATTACAAATGGGGTACAAAATCGTTTACAAAATTCAGCTAGATTCAAACTGTGATACAAGAAAGAAAAGGAAAAACCACTAAAAAAGATTGAATCATTAAAGTAACAGAAATTGATAGAGATACTTTTTTGAACGGTGTAATTAATATGCAATTAATAAAGACACATTTTTTATAAATTGTACTGTAGGAATTTATATTTTATTTATACTGTTGAACATTACAAGAAATGTTTAAGATAGTTATGATACAATGAATCAGGTTAAATAAAATATGGACAAATAAATTAAAAAACAAATGTAATAAATTAAAAACCAAATGCGCATATCAAAGACTAGCGAGAAAATTATATTTGATATATTTAACTAAGTATAATTCAATAGTTCAATAGTATAGAAGGAAAGTCTCCCTGAAGCGCCATCCTTTGGTAGAACTCCAAGTTATGAAACTTAAAAGAAAATACAAGACTATACGCATAACCAGTGTAGAATATAATGAAAAAAATAAAAATACTGGTTCTTTTTTTTTTGTGTTCAAAGAAAAGTTCAGGGAAATTAGTAATTTACCATTGGAATCATGTCCATCATTATACACTACGTCAGGCGTAGTCGTGCGCCGACTGGTACGGACAGGTACCAAATGCCACAAGGTCACGACTCGTGTATCCGTATACATGAAGGAAGAGAGCCAACACGAGACGAGGAGAGAAACTTTTTATTGTGCGACTTACTGTTGCGCCAGTAAGGTGCGCAGCCAATGAACAGCGAAATAACAGGTGAAAGAACATGTACGTTGTACTGAAGATGTCTCTTCTTCGCAGGAAGGCTTTTTTAGGAATTTATTTCCTTCCAGAAAAATATATTCCACAACATATTCTTAGCTGTTAAAAATCACCAAAACGTAATTACTACACTAAAAAAAAAAAGAAAAAATCCAGAGTAATGATTTGATCCTGATACTTTAGTTTCAACATTTCTAGTCTCAACATTTGTCAGTATTTACTACTCTAACACATTACTCAAAATCAGTGTATCGGTGAAAATTAATATAGCACAAAATGTACTAATTTTGAGAAATATTGAAATTGTCAATAAAAAATTAGAAGACACTGAGAAACGAAATGAAAGGAGAAGATCGTGCAGTAATATTTGCTTCGACTTTTAAATACGTTTGCGAGAAAACGCATGGGTCGACAACGTGTTGTTCTCTCGAGCAGCACCACCGGGCACGGGTGGCACGAGTTCACGCTGTACAACTTCATTCACAAACAGTGTACGCAAAGACAAATTGCGGGTTTCCCTCTCGAATACCACTTCCAATTAACTCTGTCGCTACATGATAGATTCTTGTATTTACACACGCAGGTACGCAGTTATTTAATCACATTCTTTCTCATCTCCATAATCGTCCATATATCTTCTTTAATTGATTAAATATTTGAAGTACTCCGACATCTTCAGCTGTTTCTCTTTACTTAAGGAAAAATAAGCTTTTACAATTTTTCTCTTGGAACAAATAATTAAATACTTTTGTACTTCTTTCTTTGATGAATCCAGCTTAACCTTGAGATATTCAAAAAACTAAAATAGCGCTTGGAAAAATTTGTTAATACAAACAAAAATTTGACATGAAAGAATTCAAAGACCAAATACAGGTGCACGTTCTTGGATTTCTTAAGATTTGCACATGAAGTTGAGAGAATTCCAAGGGAAGACGTTATCTGTACTGTGGAACCGGAACCAATTATATACCTGAGTACAATATACTTCGAACGTTTCAGGAATACAACTTGTAGTTGTTCCTGGATAGGACCCTGATAACGCAAGGACAAAGAATTTGAGAAAGCGTAGAAGGGTCCAGAAAAGAGGCGGAGCGTGATTGAATGCTAAAGGTGAAGGAAAAGGTTACTAAAAAGAAATGTGCTGTTTAAATACAGAAGAAAAAAACAGAGAAAATTCATTCTTGGGACCGAAGAAAAAGTGAATTAATAAGGTCATTTCCAAATTTTTATAAATAATTTACCTGGATCACTTGATGAAGTGCTGAAACTCTATATTATTCCTAGAAACGAAGTTAAATTGCTGAATATCTCACTGTGAAGCACTGCAGAAAAGGCAGAGCAATATAGCAAATTTTATGGTTTCAGTGAAGGCACTACGATTTCGGTAAAACATGCGTGATAATATGGTGTCCAACATCTTAGGTGAGGTAAATTCATCCTGTTTAATTAATAAGGCCATTTCGTACCAGTCTTCTTAAAGGAAAATGATTTTTCTTTCAAGTGCTGTTGCTCTCAGAATGAAATGAAGCTGTAAAATTGAACAAAATGTAGCAGTACGTTACAACAATTAGTAAAACCGTCTCTTAAAGTTCTGTTTCTGGAACGTGCACGCGAGGATGTGCGTAATTTAGGAAGAAACAATTGTAAGAAGTTAATCGATTATTTCTAACGATCGGCTTTTACGTCTTATTCAATATCCATGTCACAACGTTCGCAGGTATTCGCTAGCTAAATGCTATCTTAGCGGGGAATTTGTCACACGTGGTGCTTGGAACACCATGTCTGGCGCATGCGCGGCGTCGCCGGAGCCTCTAGCCCCCGTACTCGGACGCGTGTACCTACGCGCCCCGGAGTCAGTCGTTCGCTGACCGCGGTCGCGTAAATATTATGCAGGTCAGCGATGAACTGAGTTCGAGACTCGCTCGTGCTCTCTTCGCGTTCTTTTTTTTTCTATCTCTTTGTTTCCCCTCTCTTCGTGCTGAGGGAGGCCGGTGCCTGCTCTTCGTTTCGGGAGGAAGTGCACGCGCAACTCGCGACTGCCTCGGCGTCGACCTGAGCACACCTTGAGAACCAAGATCATCGTTCCTTTCGGTCCTTACCTCGAGAGAAACTTTGGGAGTATTAATTCCCGAGTTTAGTCCCCTCCCCCCGAGTTGAAAGTGCGATCTCGGTAACAACACTCGGTTTCTTGACTCGAGATTCGAACGGTGTAGTACCAGAGAGGAATCTGTGGTGCCGGCAAACGGAGTATAGTGGCAACGAAAATTGTGATCGTGAGAGGTGTGCGGTGAGAAGGACGGTGCGATGGCAGTGGCTGCGGGGCCACGCCGGCCACGCACGTTCCTCTTCGATGGTAAATACTTTTCCGGGACTACTTTCGGGACGAAGAATTTGTTGCGGCCAGTCCTCGATGGGTTCCCGCTGATCCTAGTCCTGGTCGGTATCACGCAGGTTGCCGGCTTTAGGATGGGTAAGAATGCACACCGAATGGTTATATTTTTATCTGTAGGAAAAGTCACGTATTTCTTTTTTTTCCAATTGATCTCTAACTTGGTGTAGTAACTGTGTACTAGTTTCACCGTAAATGGTCATAAAATGGTCATAGCTCGGATCCATCTCGGAGCCACCTGTATCAACGATACACATTATTAGTTTCTTTTGCATTGTACTATAAATATTACTATATTATATAGTATATAATGTTACTAAATATGTAGTATTACTATTACTAAACTATATAGATATAAATATAAATATACTATGAATATTACTATATATTATTACATAAACATTATATTATGTATACATTATGTATCACATTGTACATTATGTATATAACTGTACGTTGTTAACTAAATATCACTGTCAATAGCTTAAATAGAAGTAGACTACTAATAGTAAAACCGACTATTACTAGACTACAATTATTAGAAAACTAATAGTAAGCCAGATCGTGATCCCCGTAAATGCAGTCTGTAAAATTGCGCCGTGTTTAAAATGTCGTAATACTTAAAATGCAGAGAGAAGATTTGAAACTAGATTTCATTGCATCTGTCGAGTAGCAATTATAATTTGTCGTTGAATGTTGCAAGGAAAGGGACGAGAAACTGTTCGCGACAACCTGTTCGCGTTCGCGGGCGTTTGCGCGTAACGTGGTGCCGCACGCATATATCGATGTCTTTCGATATGAATCCTTGCGGCTCTGAACGAAACCGTTAAAAGCATCGAGTTTCCACGCATACAGTTTTTGCGTACAGTCTCTCAATATTTGGCAATATTTTTCGTTACTCGTTTCCTGTAACAGAGCAATTATTAATCGACGTGTTTTTAACCTTGAATTTAACTTGTATCGAAGTCGGTCTTACAAATTTCATCGTCGTTTCATCTTATTTGTAAAAACGGCACGTTTTATTAATTCTACAGAGTCATAGACGACACGTTCGTCGATGAATGATCCATCTGTTTTGCCCTGTGAGAAGATGCCCAATTGAATCTTTTCTTTTCTTCTCTCTCATACTGCGCTGCCTTCGTTCAGAAATTGCTTCATTCAAAATATTCCGATGAATGATAATTGATAAATAATTGATACGACTCGGTGCCAAAAGAATTGCGCAATGGCCCCTTCTCCCCCGAGTGCCATTATTACTCGCATTAAAACGTTTTATGTTTTTCTTCTTCTTTTTCGAGAAACGTACCGCTCCTCACCTCCGTCTTGGCCAATTAATTACCAACGGGCCTGAAAAAAAGAAAAAAGAAAACGAAATTACGCAGAGAACGAATCTTTTAAATTGTTTCGCGCGATCTCTCACGATTTATAAATTTCTAGTTGCAGTTTTATATATATATGATAAGTAAAAGAAAATCCTGGAAACGGTCAGAACAGGCTGTTCTCGATCTAATTCCGGCGAACGCTCTAACGCCATCGAAATCGCGGTCGTTTTTGCATCGAAGCGTCTCCGGGCCGGCTGCTTTCTCTGGCTCTCCCCCCGTAGCAGCTAGGTGTGCGACTTACCGCGTGGTGCTTTTCCTCGGGCTTGTCCGACTTTTTAAAAATCCCACCTCACATGAGAGAATACAGTTAACGAATCGAGCTGGGTTTACCGTTAGCCCGTTTGCAGCCGCGACCTTCGTTTCGTGTGGTGCGCGATTCTAAGTCCCTAGGCCGCCTGAGAGAGAATCCCACTAGAGTCTCGACTCAATCGCCTGTTGATGAACTCGAGGAGCTAGAATCAATGTAGGAAAATTTGTGAGGTGTAGAACGAATTCCTCTGAGAAGAAGAATTCTTTTTCTCTGAGAATAAAAAGAAATTCTGCTCGAAGGAAAGGAGAGAATAAAACAACGACCTCGAGAGTCGAACGATCGACGCCTGTGAAAGGAGTAAAGCGTAAACGAGCCTCTTAATGATCTTTTGGGACAGAGGAAGTTAATACTGAAACTACCAAATTTATAATTTTTGTTAGATATTTCATCGACATGAAACAGCGTATTTTTAGATTAAAATCTTTTTTCCTTTAATTTAAAGATTTAAATAATTTTTAAAATATACATATAAAAGCTTGTATAGTTCATTGTATTATAAAGTTTCCCTATTTTTTTTTTTTTTTTTTTTTTTTATGGACTTCAAATTTTGTCTCTGATGAAAATTTTATGCTTTCATCATTCAAACGGTAGTTCTACTGTTAAAGGGGAACGGAAATTTTTTCTCCTTTAAAAGAACCAACAGCGTATTGGTGACATTTACGCTTGGTCAACGAAAAATGTCAGCCATTCAGCAGACGCGAGTGGTATTTCGAATCGGGCTCGAAGGAAATGCAAACGGACGTAAAACATGAAATGACAAATATTTGCAAGGCGATTTCATTTTCTCCCGACGAGCGTTGAACCGAGAAACAATACGTTCGAGCTTCTGCGCGCTTACGGACGACGAATTTTTGCGACGAGTATGTTACATCGTCTGTTTGCATCATCGTTCGAACGTTTATCGGTACACGAGACGAGATCGTCAGGTATTTAGTAATTAGTAAAATTTTTCACGCGTGTTTGGAAACTCGCGGTGTACCTGGAGCTACAAAATCGGAAATCGAACGAGACTCACGCAGTGGGTCATTGGCGAAACGGACGTCTCGATCTGCTTTTTCATTCCCTAATCCGCCCGGAAAGGCAGCACCTTCCCGATGATCGTGCCCCGGCAAACGAAATAAACACCAGATGAACGCCGCGCAGTCACGCAATCTTCACGAAACCGGTTTCCGCCCTGCAGCCTTAGTTCGCGTGTAAATCGATCTGGATTTTTTTTTTTTTTTCTTTTTTTTGTGAGAACCACGACGACCTGTTCGTTTTTTCTTTTTCTTCTTTTCGCGCAAACCTCCTCGTTCCTCTACACGAAATTTTTCTCGTTAAGCCCCGTGGTAACGAGAGAATCGAGTATACATACAGATGACCGAAAAGATCTCGAAATTTTCAACCGACCCTGATTGAAACGACAAAACGAGAAGGTTTCCCTCGTTTTGTCGGGTCGGATGAGGTTAAATTGGTTTTGCATCTAATTGGTACGCACTTGAACGATAGTGATCGAGGGCTACCGGTGACTCGCCTTGTCTAATGTCCACACGGTCCACACTGTCGTGAAAGAGAGAGAGATAGAGAGAGAGAGAGAAACCGGTTTTTCGAATTCGTAGTAAACACGACTCGGAGGAGAATGTTCCGAATTGCTCTTCGGTGGACTGTCGAGCGTCTTCTAAATTTTACTTCGTGCCGATTTTCTCGACGAAAATTTCCCCGGTGTTTGTTCGTGCATTGGAAAGAAATCGAACTGCAAAGCTGGCCGCGCCGATCGCCTCTAATCGCAACGAGATAAATAAAGCTAGTCTACCAAAGATAAATTTCGCTTGGGACGAAAGTCGCCATCTTCGATCTGTATTTTGCACTTCATTCACGCCAAATCCGGAACTTTAACCATTGGTCGAGACGTAACGAAATGCAAGCCCCCTGCGAGTTTGAATTTTCAATTTTGATTCTTCATACTGAGGATTAATAAATATATATATATATAATATAATAATATTTTACATCGATATAATAATTAATGTTTACTTAGTTACTAAGTAAATACTTACTAAGAGAAGATCATAAGGCGAGGGAGGACGAATCGGTGTAACGTTTGGTTCGATTCGTTCGGGGAAGAAACGAGGTACTTTTTAGCAGAATCGAAAACGCGTTACTGTGAACCGTGTGGATTTAAATGCCCCGGCCTTGAGAGGTTAAACGTCAATCTGGGATAAATGATAAATCCGAGGCCGAGCGTCACAATCGGACAATTGAGTTGAAAAATCAGACGTATGTATGTATTTGCTTTTACAGGCCGGTTTGATTAATTTTCGTTGAACTTCTGTCTTTCTGCAAGAAATGTCACACTGGAATGTGTGCAGATAGATGATAATCGTACTCGAGAGATCGGTGACCTGCCAAAAGAAGAAAAAAGAAAGAATTAAAATACGAAAAACGAGATCCTGTATCCGTATTGCTATGGATCGGAGTAACTCGATGCCATTTTTGAGCGATCGCCGTATTGTATTTCAACACGCTCCACGAGAAGAATGCAACTTCCCATATTCTGGGAAGCGAATTAAAAATAGGGTAGGCTGGACCAATAGATTTTTTTTAATGCATTACAATTTGAAATCTATGATCCTTAACCCGGGATTACCCACGTGAGGGTCTAGTCGCCGGGATGTACCTGCGCTAGACCCCCAGGTAGGTAATCCCGGGTTAATTTCCGATGAAAATTTTGACGAACTATGTGCACGGTTGGGACACGCGAGATTTATTTTTTTATTTCTGGATTAGGTAATTCCCACATTGAAAATTCGAAATATTGAAACTACTAATGATGATAGCTATGTCACCGATGAATATACGCTAATGTACAGTCTATTGTATGGTTACTTTATAGTCTAATGTATAGTTACTTTAATCTAATGTATAGTCTATTGTATAGTTACTTTATAGTCTAATGTATAATTACTTTAATCGCACGATTTGCAATTTTATTTTACTACTCGTCTTTCACGACGCAACGTTGTTTGTTAGACAAGCGTCTATTAATGTAGTGACTCTGCATTATTAAGTGAAACGAAGTACGTCTTATCTGGCTAGAAAACATAATCAATGACTGTGATAAAGACAGTGGCAAATGTGCATCTCTGAAATTTTTATCTAACACGCGATGCGTTAAATGCAACTGCGATACTACGTTTTATTTTCGTTATTAATTATTAGAATTTTTCCAACTATTTGTATTACCTCGTGTGTCGACATTATGTATTTGAAGCAAGATGTCTTTGAATGCAACGGGGGACTTTCTCCTTCCTTTGGACAAAGAAAGAAGGAATTAGAGCTTGTAAACTCAGACAACTCTCGAATGCAAGGTTCTTGGGTTTCATCGACCCACTGATTCGTACCACTTCTTT